CGGCTAGAGTTTGACAAAACTCGGGTAAGGCCTGCAAGAACAGCCACCAGAACATGCGGCACACTCGGCATCGTAGCGGACTTGGAAAAATTATGCCTGCTGCTCGACCACGACCTCCTCGTCGTTCTGCACGACTCAAAGCACTGCAGACACCCTTTCGAAAAGAGAGATTCTCCATGGACCAAATGTCAGGGCCTGTCACCCGTGGAAGGGGTGGCAAGTCTCGAGGTTCGCTGAAGTACTACCGGCCCAGATCAGCCCAAGTTTCAGATACAATGGCTATCTGCTCCCTTCCGCACCCAGAAGGTCGTCGACTACCTCCGTGACCACTCAGCTGATTGTCGGATATTATTCCCCTCTGAAGTAAAACAATCACACCCTGATGATGGCCGCCCCTGGCCAAAGATAAAGTCTCAATCTGCGCTATCATTGCCAAGCATGTCTTTGAGGACGATGGTGACTATACAGACCACTATGCAAATGCACCGGATAAATTCCGAGACTCTACGAACAATCACATCCAGGCGTAAGTTTGTCTGATAGTCCTCCCCCTATGTACTAACATCTATTTAAAGTCTCAAAAAAAAATATCGTGAATGCCACGATCGATTGCATGCCACTGGTGCTGGTGTTGTGCCGCAGGACGAACACGCTCCCCAGAATTTACGTGGTATGTATCCCTTTCATATTTAAGATAGTCTAACTGACAAATTTCACAGCGCAGGTACTCAAAGAATTTCCGTGGTACTGACAATCTTGCTATCATTTTGAGGGGGAATCCGGCATTGTCCTCTCGAACGGTTTCATCACGCCCGGGAACGGACCACGCCGCCAATTTTTTTTCAATCTCACATTCAGCTGGGAGCTCATACTCTAATGGCTCAAATTCTGGAAAGCACTCAGTATGGCTATGCCCCTGGCACTCATCCTCAGCCTAATCTTGCCAGTGCTAATAATCCTTCTGGCGCTCATCCTTCTTCCGGTGCTCATCCTCCTCCCGGTGCTCATCCTTCTTCCGGTGCTCATCCTCCTCCCGGTGCTCATCCTTCTTCCGGTGCTCATCCTCCTCCCGGCGCTCATTCTCCTCCCGGCACTTATCCTCCTCCCGGCGCTCATCCTCCTCCCGGCGCTCATCCTCCCTCCCGGCGCTCATCCTCCTCCCGGTACTTATCCTCCTCCTGGTACTCATCCTCCTCCCGGTACTTATCCTCCCGGCACTTATGCTGCTCCCGGTAGTCACTATGGATTCAGTCACGCCCCTCAGCCCTATCAGATGGGCTACCATGAGGAGCATGCCCAGCACCCCCGGTATCATACTCAATCTCACAGCACGCCTCCCCCCTCTGACTCTCCTCTCGACGAGGATGAGGACATCAACATGCTAGATTATTCTACCCTTCCCAATGATGGGGAGGGGACAGATTTTTCATTTGGTGACCTACAGCCACGCAATCACCCTGTGATGCCTGATTACCTGGGACGAACCTAATGTCATCATCCTGGATAGTCCACCTAAGTCTAGACCTGCAAGATCGAAGCGACCACCTCCTCCATCGTCCCTGTCGCTGTCCCCGTCCCCGTCCCCATCCCCCTCTATCACTCCCCCACCAAAATCAGACTTCATTCTACCGCCAAAATCGCAAACTTCCCACCGCGACAGTCGCAGTTCCTTTGCGCTCGCTGATCCGAAGAAACGTCCGGGCATGGCGTCACCCACGCCTGTCTCTCGCCGCTCTTCAGAGAAACGTCCAGGGCACGGCATCACCCAAGCCTGTCTCTCGCCGCTCTTCAGGGTCATCCTTGCAGTCTAGACTGTCGACGTCATCGGCGCCTGCAGCGATGTCTCCGACATCTAAAGCTGCGTCCTCCACGGGCAAACAGCAAGCAGACGAAGAAGGCACGGTCCGATATTCAGAGCCAAGTTGATCTGATCAAGGACGAGATTGGGAACGCGCAGTCGGATAGGATTACGAGGGAGGAGCTGAAGAACGAGCGATACATGCTGAAGTATAATCTTGCGCGTCAGGTAAGCGAGCACAGATTCCTCAAGACCGAACGTGCCGACGAATGTGTGGAAGCTGCTGCTGCCCATCAACGTTCTTTGGAGGCAAAGGCCTCCGAGATCCGCCTCTGCGAGGCAGAGGCCAAGATGCATGATGCATTGGCACATGCACATGCTGAGGAGGCAACAACGCTCCGCCTCAAGATTGAACTTGCTCGGCTTACTAATCCTTCTGGGTCTTGAGGGTGTGCTATCCTGCTGTTCATACTGCTCATATGTTACACATGTTACTTTCTGTTACATTGATCTTTGTGTGTACTAGCTTGCCAATAGAATCTGCAACTATTCCTACTCTCCTCTCCTTTGTGCCCCTGAGTGAGGACTGTCCAATAACAAATCTTTCAACATCTCTCTATGAATGTGACCAGGTGTCCCTTCATACAACCTATCACCCACCTGCCCATTCCCATCTGGTCCTTCATCTTCACCATGAGCAATATTATTGTCCTCCTGACAAGCCCATTTCACTGAGCCCCTGTTCCCTGTAAGATTGTGCTTTTCTTCAAAACGGATTATCATGTTGTGAAGTATCAAACAACACTGAATCCAATGGACAGCTGCCTGCAGGTCCTCTGCTGAATTGATATTCTGTCGAAGATCTCGAAGAGATTGGAACCGCCCTTTCAATGCAGAAAATGCGTGTTCGACACGGACACGGACCTAAATAAAATTAAAATGAAGAAAAATCAGGAGAAAAAAATATACAAACTTTGGAAAGATAATAATTGAAGGTCCTCTGATTTGCTGTTAGTTGTCCATTGCGGGGCTTCCTTGAAAGGAGGAATACACCAGGTGTTCAGTGGGTAAGCACTGTCTGCCCAGATCCAGTGATCAGCTGGCAGAAGTGTGTCGTGCTCTTGATAGATACGAGTGGATTTAAATGCATATGCATCATGGACACTTCCAGGGTGACCAAGAGCATAATCAACTATAAGAAGATTATGAGGCATAATGACTGCCTTGAATTTTTTTAATTTTTTAATCATAAAAATAAAAATAAAAAACTCACTTGACAACCAAGGGAATACTTAGATTTCCTATCATAAAAAGCCTCATGGAAAAAGCCTGGAGTTGCATACAGATCAACTGTGGTCCCATCAACAGCTAGGATCCCATTCTTCCACTCAGGGCAAGTGGTAGCCTTTGCACTATACTGCCGAGCAAGCTCAAAATCCTTTGAGTCGTGGGGAGGGAAGACCATGAAGGCATCATGCTGGTCAAGCAGTGCGACCATTACACGATTAGTACAGTTGACAACAGAGCCAACACTAACGCCTGCCCATTGAGACACATCCACTAGAGAGATGGAATTGCCATAGTGGCCAGCACGGTTGAGAAAAATTGCAAGTTGAATAGCAACAGGAAGCTGGGGGTTGTTTGAGTTATTGTGAAAAATAGGATGGCCAGAGATTAGATCAAGGATGTCGTCAAAGATTTCTGGGTCCACGCGTAATTTATGACGAAATAAAAGAGGGCGATGTTCTCCAAAATGAACAAGAAGGTGGAGCTGCGGGGCCCTTGGGAGAGGTTCCTTGGGCCTGTGGAGTACACGAGCCCTTAAAACTTCATCCCGGAGAGTCGAAATAGCATCTTGGAGGCGGTTGTAGTGGGCAAGAACATAGTCATCAGAAAAGTCAGATGAGTCGTCAGATAAGCCAGAGAGGACTGGAGAAAGAGGTGAGGGAGGGGTAATCATGACATTTAAGAAAATATCAAGCTCTGAGTCATGGGTAAGATCAAAAGATTCAAAACTTGAGATAGAGTCCATAGAGTCATCATCTTCCATGACTTGCTGATATCTTGCCCTGGCTACCACAAGGGCAGTCTGGTCAATATCATTCAGCATCTGTGCATGGTTGGATTGACGAGGCATGATGGGGATCAAGGGTATCAAAACCCCTATCTGGTGTGCATATGTGACGTAGATTTCAGCGGAGTTTAAAATTTCGGAATAGTCCGGTGTTTCATCTCACGTCGTAAGTTGGTGTCGTTCTCGATCTCACCTCGCACCTTGGTCCTCAGCACCCAGCACTTAGGACACAGGCCTCAGGCCCATCATGGTCATTACCTTATCAGATGTCATGCATGCAAGGTAAGTGATTTTGTGCTTTTCTTGAGCTCACTAACTTTTGCTCTTCTCTAGTTCTATTTTAGTCTTATCAGATGCAGACCCACCTGACCAGCAGCGCCTCATTTTCGCTGGCAAGTCGAAGACCGATCACGTTGGAGGTGGAGTCTTCTGACACCATTGACAAGTCCCTCCTCCTCCTCTTCCTCCTCCTCCCCCCGGCCGCTTAACCGTCGAGTCTCTCGTTTCTGCGGAGGGACGCAGATCTTCGTCAAGTCCTCTTCCTCCTCCTCCCCCCGGCCGCTTAACCGTCGCGTCTCTCATTTCTGCAGAGGGATGCAGATCTTCATCAAGTCCCTCCTCCTCACATCTCCTTGCTGGTCTTTTTTGCGAGAAGGAGATACTAATTTTGATGTTTGGTCTTGATGCTGCTGGTAAGACTATCCTGTATAAGCTCAAATTGTAACTACCATCGTATTCAACGTTGAAACTGTCAAATATAAGAACATTTCTTTATGATACTTGTGCAGTTTCCCCATCGCATGCTTCGCAAATCCTAAGTGTTGTTTGAATGTCCGACGTCGTGCCGATGTGCGCCGCGTATTACTCAGCTGTGTTACTTTCAACCTTAATTGAGTTTTGTCCAACTCCAGCCGAGAGTTAGCGAGCTTTAGCGATGTTTTAATTTCTACTCTGAGTACCACTAGTACTCATTAGCCCCACTCAATTCCATTTTATTTTTCCCATTTTATTTTTTGCAAGTGATATATGAGTGACAGATGGTGAGAAATAAAATGAGTTCTAATTGAGGTCGACCATTTTATTTTATTTCTGAAGTACAGCGGTGCGCGCTGAGATTAGAATATGCCGAGGCGGCACATTAAACGACGCAGCGTGAAGGCTTGAAGTCCAACGCGGCCACGCCGACAGTCATGGATGACGGATTCCAGTGGACATTCCCCGCCGAACACACATACCCAGGAGTGGTCTGCAGCCAGTGCTGCCCAAGGCCGAGAAGTTTGTCGTCGTCGTCTTCTGCTGCAGCCAGTTGTGCAATGGCCAGGAACTCGAGTTGTTTAGCTGGAGACTGATGGTGCTTTGGGGGCTTGCGTCCGAGACGTCGTAGACGTGCCATGACGTATGATGCATTGACGATTGTAGGTACTGGAGACAAGTAGCATTTCCGCGCTCGCATTGTTGAAACTCCGCAATGACGAGCGCCGAACAACATACCTGCAGTCCAATATATCATTTTATTTTTTGTTCCCCACGGCAATCTACACTCACTCGCTAAAAAATAAAATGAGGAAAATAAAATGGAATTGAGTGGGGCTATTGCCCATGGACGGCCAACTTCATTAATATGTCTACTAATAATTAGACAATATCAAATTCTTCACAATTGGCCTGATCCTCGTGCTATCTCGTGATCTGCATACCAAGCCCGATCAGTGTGCGGTAAGTTTGGTCCCAGGGATACTCATCATCGTGGTCTCAGGGACTATTCCTTCTCTCCCAACAGCCCTCGCCTTCAAACAATCAGAATTCCAAACATGCTCCCAGTCCGGTTTCTGTCGCAGATGACGCGCCATCGCAGCATGATCTCAAAAATGTTCATCGTCATGGAACTCCTCATACTCAATCAAAACCCCAGAACCTAGCCCTCATCAACCAGGGTTCATCACTATAAGCGTTCACTCGCCCATCTATCTCAACGTCAAATTCGTGTTTGATGTTATTATACACGAGGATTGCATTGTGCACGTGCGAATAGATGAAGAAGACGGACTGAGAAAACAGTATAGCGAAGTTGCTCAGTGGACGGAGAACCTTTGTTGAGTGATGGTCTCTGGATGATTGACAGGGAAACGCCAAGGCTGTTTATGGACCGAAGACGGGTATGGAGCTCATCGTCGACTTTAACTCTCTCAAAATCACGCTTTACCGGGGCAGCATAGAATAGATCGTATCGAACAGGCACGGCTTCCTGCACATGGAGTATTTTCAGAACTGAGGATCTCAACTATGTGGATACATCGAAGGCGAAGGATGATCCGTTTTTCAAGTCAACCCCGCAGTATGGAATCCCCCTAACACGCCATAAACTTCTCCCTCCCCAGCACAACAGGCCCCACCGCAAAATACACAAACCCCTTCCGCCTCTACAACATAGATGTCTTTAAATACCTCTCATGCCTCTCAAACTCACCGATTTCTCTCTATGGTTCGATCCCATTCATGCCGATGGCTCTCGCGCCTTTCCAACGATCATTATAGCAGGTAAGTTTCGCGCAGTACCTTTTTGGCCAAGCAGAAGAATAGATTTAATATGGATGTCTCACAATACGTTGCTGTCCCGTAACGGAACATGCGAGTTCACTGTTATTATCCTAAAGGACATGCGTGTTTCGCCAAAACTCCTTTGCCTGCCGCCAGCAAGCCCTTGCGATCCTGAAGTACCTCCTTATCGCCTGGATCTCAAACAGAACTGCATTTGCGCTATTCGACGAAACCTCTCGGTAGAAAAAGTATTAAGTAGCCAGAAATGCACGCGCACGCGGTTGCGCTGCATCATTGTTTTGTCGAAGTTCAATTCCTCAGTACACTCGAAAGCTACTGTATAATAATTCGCCATCCATTAGCGCTTTAGCATTCAAACACATCAAACATCAGGTCTACTCGGAGCCTCTCATGTAGTTCACAGCCTAGGGTGAACGACACAGTAGTACTACTCATAGTAGGTACGTGCAAACCTGATGAATTTCGCATCTTGCCAAACTTTGGCAGATATCTAGCTTCAATGCGCTGAAGCCAAGGCGACTCAATCCAACTCCAGGCGATTGAATTTTTTTTAACAAACCTAGGATCCCCCAGCTATTCTCCATACCTCCATTCCGCCCTCGCCTCCAATGCCCACCACATCCCCAACCCAATCCACCGCAAGCACCTTCATCCCATCCCATACCCTGAAACTGGTTACAGCGCCTTTCGTGCTCCGCAGGTCCCACAACCGCGCAACGCCATCATAACTGCCAGTGACAACCTGATTTTTCCCACTTTCAGATGTAGCAATACAGGATGGAGTCGTGGGGTGCATCATAACACCTGTGGAGGATGAGAGGGACGAAACACGGAGGTCGAAGATAGACACAGTGCGGTCCGTGGATGCAGCAAGGAGAACGTTCCCATCAGGGGTTTCAGTAAGGTCGAGCATTGGACGCTCAGGCACGTTCTAATAAAATATATTCAGTTTGAGTTTCGATAATGGGGAATAAGACTTACAATAGTATTCATACATACACCACTTTCGACATCCCAGGTTCGCACCGTCGAGTCAAAACCACAGCTATAGGCCTTACCTTTCGCAGGCTCACCTGCAGCAAAAATTGCTTTTGACACGCGTGCAGTGTGCGATTTTAGTACTGCTATGGGTGCTTTCCGTTTTATGTTTGCGGGTGCAGTCTTACGCCGCTTTTTTCTATCATCTCCGCGCTCCAAATTGACTTGGTGGTCATCGGGTATTGAAGTATCCCAGACACCGATGAGGCCATCCCACGAAGAGGTAAGGAGGTGTGAACCAGATGCATCAGTAGATATGGAGGATAGTGGGCTGGTGTGAAGATGTAGAGAAGCGACAGTGGATGCAGTGGGAGTCTCTGAATCCAGATATACGCGCGTAAGACACGCAGTGAGGTCATGCGACGAACTCGCTAGAATGCGAGACTCGGTGTCTGATGGCGGGGATGGTACTATGCAGACGGAAGTGATGGGTGATTGGTGCACAGAGGCATCAAGAACCAGATTTTGCGAATAGTCGAAGAGACGTAGGTGGCCGTCATAGGATGCTGTGACGAAGTGTCTGTGATGATAATTTAAGGTTTAGCGAATGGATCACAAAGTGATGTACGCTGGCTCAACATACTGAGGTATTCGACATGACACTGAAGATACCCAATCCTCGTGTGGAAGCTCGGACATCCGCTGAGGAGGCATCACACTCTCAAAATACTCGATCTCTAAGGTATCTTCCTATCATAAACGTTAGGCTCTCTCCCAAATAACTTGATCACTTGGCTCACCTCTCCCACACCCTTTTCTGTGCGCCATTCTAAAAGGGACGTTCTAAGAATCTCGCCATGGACAAGGAAGTCAAATGGAATAGGCTTGGGAAGGTCAAGTGCTTTGTTGATGAGTTGGGAGAGCTGGTAGCGTTTCCAGTCCAAGGGGATCATGAATTTTTGGGAGGGGAGTGTATAGGGTGTTTGAGTCGTGAATACGACTGGGTGCGAGGGCACTGCGGATGGTAATGACGCCATGGTTGATGGTGAGCTCGATACCGGTACACTCGTTCAGTGAAACCGTCTATCAGATTCACATTTTTCTGTGACAGTGTCACGGTCACTTAGACTTTATGTCACACACAAGTTCAACAGTTGGTCTTTCGAGTCCGTCTGCCTCTACCGGTGTACTTACTTGCGTCGCTGACATCAAGCTTCAACGTTTCAACATTGATCTACACTAAATCATACTTTTCAAGCCACACGTATGTGTTCATTAGATATTCAAGAACGTATTTCACCTGTTACCGTTGTCCGTACTTGTTCAATTGTAGACAAACCAGCATGCTAAATGCTCTGACGGTCCCAAAGTAAGTAAGCTTATCTGCTCAACAGGCACACCGTCAAAGCTGTATACTCAATCTCTGAATCTTTTATTGTATGAAACCTGGTCCCTTATCATTATCTTGGCTCACTCACATCATTTCGCGGCGCGACCTTTGACTGACCTATTATTAAATAGATTGGGACATGATAGAGCAAAGCAGGTGAGAATTCGCTATTCCGCGGCTCGAAACCCGCCTTCTCACGAGCACATCCAATACACCGTCTGCCAGAGAGTATATAAGTAGGGACCCGTCTACACGTTATCTCTTCACCTTAGAGCATTCCCTCATCTTGGTATTATGTCCAGCTCTGTTGATGAGAAGGGTGGCGGCTCAGACAACCCTCATAATGATTCTATCTCCGTGTATGAACGACCAAAGGGCTGGCGTGGTGTTTACTATCACCCCATAACGCAAATTGTCATGGTTGCTTTTGTCTGCTTCTTATGCCCTGGGATGTTTAACGCCCTCACTGGACTCGGCGGAGGCGGCCAAGTCAACCCAACGATTTCTGCAAACTCAACTTGTGCGGTATACGCGACATATGCGTTTTTCGCGTTCTTCTCCGGGTAAAAATATTCCATCCCCATGATCATCTGATGATTAATTGAACATAAAAATTAAAAGAACCGTCAATAACAAGATCGGCGCTAAGCGTACCCTGCTATTTGGAACATTGGGGTATGCGCTCTATGTCGGTTCTTATCTGCAAGTTCTTTTTCTTTTCCTGCCGGTCTACATCCTTATGCCTAACCCAGCGCAATTAACATCCACCCTGGCGCTGGCTGGTTTGTTGTTACCTCGGGTGCCCTTCTCGGTGTCACTGCTGCGTTCCTGTGGACCGCTCAAGGCTCAATAATGCTAAGCTACTGCACTGAGGCGCAGAAGGGCATCTTTATCAGTATATTCTGGGCCATTTTCAACATGGGAGCAGTCGTAGGCGCTACCGTGTCCTTCGGGCAAAATATCAATTCAACGGTATGTACTGTGGTGCATTATTGACACCAGCTTACAACTGCGGCTTCAGACTAATAGCGGTAAGTCTGCCCCCTCATCATGGTTTCCTCTTAATTCAATTCGTCTGCTACCAAGTCAGCAACGGAACATATGTTGGTCTTCCCAAAAGCTTCGTTGGCACTGTCACTAATCATGATTACTGCACAGGTCGGGATCCTGGTTCTCACAATACTTGGGGTGACAATCCCTCTTCTGATGGCCGATCCTGACAAGATGATTCGCACGGACGGTACGAAGGTCGCCATCCCTCGCCATCCGTCCTGGAAGTCGGAATTTTATGGCCTATGGGTTGCAATCATCACAGACCCCATGATCCTCTTGCTCTTCCCGATGTTTTTTGCGAGTAATTACTTTTACACATGGCGTGCGTGGCTCTTAATCCCCACTATTTGAAGTACCTGACCCTCTGGGCAGAATTCAACGATTACAACTCAGCATTGTTTAACATCCGCGCGAGGTCTCTCAATAACTTCATGTACTGGTTCTCGCAGATTATTGGCAGTGGAATTATCGGTGTCATCCTAGACTCCAAGAGGTTCCGGAGACGTGTGCGCGCGTTCACTGGGTGGGGTATCCTACTGGCGATGACATTTGCAGTACACATCTGGGCTTATTATTATCAACGGTTCGCATTCTCCAGCATAGATAGACCCTCCCGCTAATTCTTCATGATCTATATTCAGGACGTACACCCGGGCTTCCGTTCCCCCGGACTCGCAGAAGATGGATATTTACGACCCAAGATACCCAGCACATGTCTGGCTCATGATATTCTATGGATTGCTGGACGCAATGTGGCAGACGACGAGCTTCTGGCTCATCGGTGCCATGAGCAATGATACGAACAAGCTGGCTATCTACTCCGGGTTTTGTACGCCTTTGTCTCTGATTTCACTTGGTATGTGGGTCTCAACTATATTTTTTACAGACCACTCTATTCAGAGCGCCGGAGCTGCTGTTGTATGGCGGATGGATGCAATTGGGGTTCCGTAAGTCCTAGTCACCTAACCAATTGACCAGGTTCGAAAGTTAACCCTGGTCTTACAGCTACATGAACATCTTCCTCTCTACGTGGTGTCTAGTTGTCGCTGGTCTTGTATTCTGTTTCCCGATGATCTACCTGCGTATCAGAGATACAACTATGCTCGAAGACGAAGGCTTGTACGTGACACTTCTTCCTCCATGTGTCTGTCTGCGGTTACTAATCTGTGCCATGTGTAGAATGCAGAGAGATCAGGGGATAGATCATATGAAGGCGAAAGGGATGATCGAGAGCGAGGTTGAAATATCATGAACGCTTTGGAAATATTATATGTATTCGTGACCATTCACACAAGTCAAATTGAAAATCAGGCTGTTTACCTGCAGACGTTGGATTCCGTCCACCATTGTTCGGCTTTGAACCTGTTGAAGTTGCGACAGACCATGGAAAACTGGACTCACAAGCCCCATTCAATGGGCAAGGTTGCATAAGTATAGAAGGACTAATTTTCCTCATTTGTCTATGGTCTGAAACGCACTTGTCATATTTTGAGTGGACACGCGAGTGTATTTTGGGAGATGCAACACATGAACTAGATTTTATGCCAATCATATGACCATGTACATCGTGCTTATCCATGATAGCGAAGATGATAGGAATAAACAGCAGGAGAACCATATGCTCGAACCATCTGGCCCATCCATCAATCGAGTCTTATCTACATAAGCTTGTTCTGGCAATACTCATGCCAAGTAAAACAGCTATCCTTGGCGCGGGTACCTTCGTTAGGTATGCAAGATAACCAATTGTTTGACTTACCCCATCATGCTCTGAAGTCTGCACATTCAAATTTCACCTTCTAATGGTATTTCAACAGGACATCTTTCCTGAACTGCGAACACTTGGCCCCTCTGGTGCCAAAGGTTAAAGTGGTTTACTCGCGATCAGGGAAAGGCGCTCGTGAACTCGCTGCCCAAGCAACAGTCATCCTCGATACTACCCCCGATGTCTACTTTGGCGGAAGTATACATCTTTGAATCTCTGATGCACTCCTCGCCAAGTCTGACATTTCATCCATAATCATCATCCTCCAAATCACCCATCATAGAGTAGCCGAAATTGGGAGGTTGAGCCGGCCCACGTTGCCGCTGGCTGTGCTCTCGCAGCCAGTAAGATAGGAAAAGTCACCGCTCTCGTGCTATTAACTTCATGGACCGGGGTACCAACTGGTATACATTGACGTGGCAGATTTTTCCAGAGGTAAGTCGATTTCCTTGATTTGTTGTATAGTCTGACAAGATTTGGACTGTGTCTTCACTTCAATTGGATTAGCAACAAGGAGGATTCGTGGTAAGATTCATGCTGTGCTTACTACATCGCACTGAAACGGCTGACAATTAACTGAGTTTAGCTGGATGCTGGTGTGATGAGTCCCCGCGGGGAAATATTTGTGGACATCAACACTGATTTACTCCCAGCACTCCGTCGCAGCACTTCGTGTCATACTCCCAGGTGCGATGACTCACCTATCCGGATTTGCATCGCTCAACAAGCAGTTGCTTACTCCCCACGATACTATTAAAACCACCATGAAAATGCAGTTTACTCACATGGCGTTTTGAGCTCAGTTTCGCTGCACCTAGCCCATCTCGGACCGTTGCGATGTAGACCGTGGTATTGTCGTCACCGGCACAGATGGCTGGCTTGAAGGTCCAGCAAACCATGGCCCATGACCTCATCCACAACGTTGAGATGTGGGCCGTTTTTCGCATGACTATCTAGTCGGTTACCCGTGATGCAAATGAGGTACTTGGCCCTGAAAAGGAGGAGGTTGTCGATGTACCTATCAGAAGTGTATAATTGGAGCAGGCCAGCTTCTTTGCGACCCTGGATGGAAAAGACGATGGCCTTGGCAGCCCCCTTGGCACGACACCGCGGCTATCGAGGCTGCATTGACCAGTGGTGGAGAGGTCATCGATCTTGAGAAACTCCATCAGTCAGTCTCAGATGCTGAAGCGCTGACTGCCGCAGCGTGGACATTGGACAAGCTGCCACGACCCAAATTTGCAAAGCAACAGTTGCTTAGTAATCAGACCTCAGGGGCTGGCGAGGTCACGTTATCACGGCATCGACCCTAGCGCATGTCACAACTGCTCCAACTCGGTTGACATCAAATTTTTCAGTTCCATTCGGCCCCACATCATGTTGCGGATTGTCTGTGCTCGTAACTATCGTCGAAGACAACCCAGTGACTCACTGTTGCGCGGTCCGCCAATCAATTTAAATTTCAATAGGCACATCAAGTTTGGGGGCATCCGAGTCCTACTGGTCATGACATTTGGTGCAGTGCACATCTGGGGCCTGGGCCTCTTCCTATCAGAATTTACCTTCCCTGGCATGTATATATAGGCATTCTCACGATTCTTGGCGATTTTGTATGCAGGACTTACACCCGCGCGTTCATCACGGCAGACTCCCAGACGGCGGATATTTACGCATACGACCCGCGTACATCTGATGCATGATATTCTATGGCCTTCTTAAACGCAATGGGGCAGACAGCGAGTCACTGGCTCATCGGTGCCACGAGTAATGATGCAAATATGGTGGTTATTTATGTAGGATTTTGTGCGCCTCTGTCCTTTTCTTTGTTTGGTTTAGAAGCTCTGATGATCATTCCATCCCTGCTGGTGCGTGGCAGATGGATACGATTGATTAGGTTCGAAAGCTCCACCTTAACTCCGACCTTATAGCTACAAGAGCATCTTCCTCTCCACGTGGTGTCTACTCGTTGCTGGTTTTGTGTTCTCTTTCCCCATGATTTACGTGCGCATCGGAGATGGCAACTGTACTCGAAAGCGAAGGCTTGTACGTATCTGGTCTCTCTCTGCATTTGTTAAGTCCATGTCTTGTGTACAGAATGCAGAGAGACGGAGATCAGTGATATCAAGCCTCAAGGCAAAAGGGATGATCGAGAGTGGGAACAGAATCACATGAGCGCATCAGTGATTTCGTCGGCAGTAACCTGTACAGAAGTATGATCCTGTAATCCTTCAGTACTTCAAAGTTCAGTGACGAACTTCGAGTACAATAACCAAATCTCAGAGTGAACACGTACTACAATCCTTGAGGTCAAAATCCAGAGCCTCCAGTCGGTTTTCTTTTCTACTGTTGAGCTGTTTGATATGATGACACAGATACATAACGTGATAAGTGAAATACATGGTCAGGGTCCCTGCGGCAAACTAAATGTGATCTTCCTCCGTCCTCGGAACTTCTACAACGTTATCATCATTGTCAATATTAGAATCTTCCCCTGCAGTCATGGAGACGTCTCTATAGTCGGTAGATTTGAGCCCTTCGTTACGCATATGCTGAGACGTGAATTCGATATCGGAGTATTGTCGTGATTGGACAGCGGTTTTACTGGAAGATGTGGATATTGTGGAGCTAATCCAGCCGTTCCCCTGGGCTTCACGGAATATGATCAGAAGGGGGGCAACGAGCTATAGAGAGTCAGTGCAAAAGCTTGAATCAACATGATAATACTGACTTGTGCCTCTCCAAGTACTTGTATGAACACATTCGCAACTGGACTTTTCGTCGCGAATGGGATCAAGAACAGTAAGGAGAACGTGGAGTAAATCGCAGCGCTCTCGACGATCACTGACTCGACACTAGTGTGTTCCGCTACGTGTCCAGGACCTAATAATGCGTGCTTCATGTGGACACGATATAAGTATAGGCGGAGTACGATGAGGATGGTGACGGTGATATTGGTGGCAAGTTCAAAGAAAAAGTATGGAAGGGTAAAATTCACATTCATGCCAGCAGCAGAGTATGGTGATGATAAGGGGGATGAGATCTGGTAGAGAAAGAGAATGCCGAACACTGAGGAGAAGAATGCCATGGTAAGTACATATGAACGCATAACAATGTAGATTATTTACCGACAGATCCGAGGAACATGGTCCCTAGCATGACAATAATTGGCCACGGACAATTTCCACAATCACGGTATATAATTACGCAGCGCCAGATCTACACTTATGAGAAATGATGATGATATGACTGTCTCGACTAAAACTCACCATGAGCGCTGTAGCACACCAATCTGCCAGGACAAAAGAGACATTGGCTATCTCATCCACACTGATGGAAAACATCTCAACCTCCCACGCACTGGGACCACCTGGAAAATTTCGATCGTTTATGAAGGCAAGCTGGGTGAATTGGGAAATGGAGCCCATGAAAAGCGATCCTAGAATAAACATGACGCAGACATAGACGAGAAAAAAGCAATTCCTAGAGTAATCTGCGTCCTTCACTCGCGTACGGCGCCACAATAACTGCAGACAGAGCCAGAAAAGAGCAAGGACGACGCCATAGCCGACGCCAGTCATGATGCTACCAGCCAGCCACGTTTTCTCGGAATAGAGCTGAGCGGGGGACTCGTCTGGTGTGTAGGACATGGAGAGCGGGTATAAGTAGCCCTGGTAGTGAGGGTTGACTGAGAATTTTGGAAGAAGCCAAAGAGAGGCATGAACTCGACGACCAACGGAGATCGTGGCATCGGAAGGCTGCGCTGCGCTAGTAACTTTTATGTAAACGAGGCCACATCAGTACTAGTCTAAATTGACCGGAAGATTAATTAATCAACTTATCGGTCCCGCCGAGGCTACGTGCTGAAGCTTGAAGCACCGCACAAGGCCCCACCGTGCACCACCGTGACAACTTAGTTTTGAAGGCCATCTGAAAACTGTCCGACCCTTTCAGGTGTTCTCTGTGGGCCTGTGGCACATTTGAGTAATCCCTGTCAAATTCCCTGTCACACTTGCAGCCTGACTCAATAACAAGTAATGTTCAAGTTGTTGTTCTTTTTTTTGGTCTTCGCGGACCTCTAATAGTTCGGATAGAGTCGTTGATGTTTTTGATTATAGATCACGAAGCACGGATAGGCTATATATGGATTCTGAACCCAGTTCTGAACCATCCAGAAAGTCTAACATTCCAGCTTTGAGAAGCGACAAGACGTCCTCGACAACCCTTCAAGTTCCAATGAAATGAAGTTTTCACAGTGTATGTTAAGCCATCCATCAATGTTTAGACAGGTGACACTGGCCAGATGACAACATCGCCCTTGTAACTCCCGAGTCACTTTGACATACAAGCAAAATCACCATCGCCTAGAAATCTGCGCGCGCGAGAGTCGTGATATTGCTGGGAGGACTATGATAGGGATTCATATCACCATGTGCAGCGTTCACTCACCACTGGAGTCTCGGTATGTGTGCTATTGTATGGCGTTTCGAGTTATCTGTTGAATGTATACTTGCTGTAGACTCGGGCATATACGACAGAAGTGATGTTTAGACAATAAGGCCTTGTCGCTTCGACACCGGCTACGTTGATGCCACCTGACTTTCGAGGACTTCCGAGGGTCGGTATCGACATCTTTAACTGATCGTCTTATGTGTTCCTTCGAACCCTCCGAAGCACTTCGACAGATCGTCGATGATGTACTACATATCTCCGAGTCGCGGCAAAGTTCAAACATGGCGAGATTCTCCAAGCTTCGGATACTACACGATGCAGAGCATCATTCATCGAGCCCTCAAATTTCCTTACCTGTAATCAGTTATCGGAGAGACATAACATGACTGCGGCGCATGTCCGATTACCTCGAATCATGTTCACACTTTCAGGATCTGAAATGACTTCTCAGGAACTGTTGTTCTAGTAGGCGTTAAACTCCAAGTATAAAACGTTCAAGGATGGATCGGCGATATCTTCACGTTTTTTCGTCACCGTACTACTCATCACTATGACCAGGTATGCAGGCATCGTGTATCGCTCCCTCGACCAGCGTCTTCTGCATCTGCCACTCCAAGAGGTCGACGTGAGAGTATGGATGGTCGACGGTGAGTTGGAGCGAGATCCACATTCACCACTAATTCGTACTGCTCTTCATAGTCTCTGCGAAAGTCGTACTCTATCAAATTTTCGAGAATGAGTCAGAGAGCCCTACAAGCCGCGCAAAATACGTGTTCCCTCTTCCCGCAAATGCCGCAATTTGTGCCTTTGAGCTCGAACATGCCGATGGGCGCGTTATAACCGGTGTTACAAAAGAGAAGTCAGAAGCCGCAGAAGCTTTTCACGGTGCGATGGATGCCGGAATGTCTGCGGGACCAGTAGAAAGTGTGGCGAGCGTATTACGATGACCCTGGACAAATTCTGACCCGACCTGGATCTAGTATTCACGCTTTCAGTTGGCTCGATCCCCGCCCGGCAGAAGGTCACAGCAAGATTGACAGTGAGTGCGTTCTCAGTTCGTCACAGATCCCTTTTTTGACGAACGAGCAGTTTGTGATGAATCTTTTCGATGAGGCAAGACAAGATCATATCTGTCTACGGCTTCCAATGACCATTGCTAAACGATATGGCGAGAGTCCAGCAGCCTTGCTCAATGCACCCACAACTAATGAAAGGACGCGTGTTCATATCACTGTGGACGTCCAAACCAGCGATGTGATACGGGACATACGTAGCCCTACTCACCGGATTTCTCCCCTACGGTACAGGAAACACGCATCAACAAAGTCTGAACGACGGATGACCGCAAGGTGGTCATCTACAACGTTCCTAGATCGAGACTTCGTGCTGACGGTACACGCTCTTGGACTTAATGAGCCTCGGTGTTTCGCCGAAGTCCACCCCCAGCGTGCGGATACCATTGCCATGCAGCTCTCTTTCGTACCGAAGTTCGAGATGCCTCGCATTGCACCACAAGAATACATATTCGTTATTAATCGCAGTTCGAGCATGATCGGAGCCCCGATGGAAACAACTAAGCGCACGTTGGCAATGCTCCTTCACCTCTTGCCAGACTCGGATACGACCTTCAATATCTTCAGCGAGGTTGATGGTATGTGGGAGACGAGTATGCCATTCAACGAAAGGAACATGCAGTACGCGGTAATTATGTTCTGTCACCGTCAAAGGCAACTAGACATTGAGTGAATTGTGCAGATATCGAATGTACAAGCCATACAAACCAACAATAGCGGAACGGAATTTGCCCACATCCTGCAGCTTGCGGTCGCATCTCGTGATCGCAATCGCCCGACTATCATATTCGCTCTTACTGGTGGCGTACATCCTGGAGTGAAGCCCCTTGGGATGTTTGCGAGGTGTCGTAGAGTGGTCACACAAGTCTTATCCAGAGTCAAGCGCTTGAAGCCGTCGTCCGACTCGAATGTGCGTCTGATCTCGCCTGAGCCTCTACTCGAACTAATGATGAGACAGTCATCCACAAATCCCGATCCATTCGAGGTTGTCTCAGCGGCTGTCGATAGTTGCAGCCCAAATGCGCCATTGAAGCTATTCACCCTCTGGATCGGTGAACATGTCGCATCGGCCGCGTGCGAGCGCCTCGCTCGCTCGAGCGGGGGTGAATGTTTGCTTGCAGTTGAAGCTGAAGACATGATTAGGAAGTGTGCAAGGCTTCTGACCGCTGGTCGGACGGGCGTAATCGAGAGTGTCGTGGTTGATTGGCATGGTTCTGGCAACCCACCAGCCATCAACTTCTTACCCTCGAATTACTGTCACTCGCTTCCACTCAGTCACGTAGTGCAGCCGGAGCCGCTGTCTCCGATACAGCAAGTTCCACATAGGATCACGAAGATATTCCCCGAGATGCGCTTGAATGTCTTTGCAATCACCACCTTTAGATCGATCCCTCCTGAAATCAGGTTGCGTGTCAAGGTTGAAGGTTTGGCTGGGGTCCTCGAGCTCGCGGTACCGGTCACGGCAGTTAAACAACCGTTCAAGGATGAATTTCCGCTCCTCCATACTTTGGCGGCACAAGAACTCATTAAGCACCTGGCAGAGGGTAGAATACCACTTCCGAGGCCTGTGGCGCCTACCACGAATGAGGAAGTTCGAAAGACGGCAATTGTCCAATTAGGACTCGAGTACCAGCTGGCGAGCCAGTACACATCCTTTGTTACCGAGTCCCGACGTGAGATGGAGGGGAGCAGGCTACACCGGACGGCGTCACTAGAAAGGTCTCTGCGGCAGCATTATTACGCATTCCCACCTAGCATCACGAGTGACGCTCCTGAAGATTATGCTTTGAGAATGGATGCGCCTATGGTGCAGACGGTTTTGGACAACTTGTCTTGGGTGGTCGATGCAGTGTTCGACTTTTTCACCCCAGATGCTGCTCTGACACACTCGAGACGCCAAAGCTGGCTTCCTGACACATATTATTCCACCACACAATCACGTTCGAGCTTGTTGTCTAGTCAGGGCGCACGTCCGTTTCACCACGATAACTCGAGCACGGATACATTCTCCACGTTGAGTTCATTGGAAGGCTCTTCCACCAACTCTCAATGGACCCATTCTCGATCGTCCAGCCCATTACGTCCTTCGGCAGATTCGATCCAGCGCATCCCATCGCCAGTCTTCGGTCCAACACGCAACGCGCTTCTGAGGGCACGACGTGCAGTAGTGTCCGACTCTCGCCCACTACCCGTGCTCAAGAGAGTGTACGCTCTTATCTTGCTGCAGGGCTATAACGGCTCATTCACGCCGTCGCCTCAATTGGAGGCGCTTGTTGGCGCTGAAATCCTAGAAAGGGCGGCAGATTTACAGGTCAATGAGAATGTATGGGCGACTGCTGTTGTTGTGGCGTACCTGAGGCATCACCTGGGTGCGCAACCGGATTTTTTGCATGTTTTGCTGAGCAAGCCTCTGGAGTATGTCGAAGGAAAGGGAAAGAGATTGCTGACCGGACGAGAATTTTCAGACTTGGTGGCAATTGCGGGACGTTCTGTAGGTTAGTATACAGATTTTTATGTGTAGTTTAAGGTTTCGTAGTGTCGAGGTTAACGCTAGAGGAAAGCTTCGCGGTCGCCACAAATCTCGGATTTCAAGCTACCTGTAACGAGCGCATATCACTATCGAACATAGTAGAGATTGCAGTTTGCACCAAGGTTATGGTAACTTTCAACATCGAAACAGATCTGGATATTGCGAATGGGGCGAGAAGAGAATTAGTGGAAATTATCTTGGACAAACGGATGTCAAGTTTTTTCACTTACAAAGGCTGTTGTGGAGTTGGAATACTCTCCGATGTATGTTCTGATCAAATTGAAGCGCACGAAAGCCAAACGTCTCGAAAATATGGAATCCGGGGTCATACCACTTGTCCCAATACAATGGATGGATGTTTCGTGTCATGATTATCTGAGTCACAGCCTTCATTGACAAACACGGTCAATCCATATTTTGGTGCCTTGGGGAAGAGATGCTCTTCAAATGTTTAGCTATGTGGAAGTTGATTTGAGAAAATTACACGCAACGTACCTATTGAAACCTCGCACGATTGAGCTTGAAGCGAGAAGTTCTGCGATTCTCTAGCATGGCATCAGTCGTAGACCTAGTCTCGAGAACTCGGGGCAAGTGCGCTCATCATGATGTTGCTAAGACAGACAGCCGTAGAAAGAATGTGCGTGCAGGCGATAAGATACTTACTAGGCGGGGGCTCCGTCGTTCTATAGGCGGATCATCCACCGTGTCGTCCCCATTAGTGTGCACCAATTGTCATTCATGAAGGAGACAGCACATGGCCCCCGAGAATAATCACGAGCCACTAAAAATCGATCACGCACTGGTGCCTGGTACATGAAAATTAGGGTGAAAGCTTTGATAAAAGAACTGGTGTGAAACTCACTTAGTCTTTCGGCAGTCCAGGTATAGGGACTGTTGGTTCCATGCTTTTGATGCATGGCTCGGTAGTGTCTGCGGTGAGAGCTCGCAGAGGTTGGTGAACATGTTGCACCTGTACTTGAGTGGTGCGGGATTCCAATGATGGTGGATTGGCGAATAAGAACTAAACCAGTTGGACCGGCAGTGAGGGAAGCTCAAAGTAGCGATGAACCACGAGAGACTCCACTGGACGTAAGGCGCTCCTTTTGTGACAAATTTGATGACGAGTTTGAGATGTGGTAAGAACTCCAAATGCATCCGCCGGTACCTGCAGCACTTGGGAATCGGCGGGGATGAAGTGGGAACAGCCACGGGCGTCTACCCTGCAGCTTAGAGCAAGAGACCTACAATCCCTCCAAGCTCACCTCGACCACGTTCAACGCCATCAACCTCCAGTAAAATGTTGAAGCCCATTCCAATCACTACACCCCTGCGAGAGTTGAACGGTCATGAACAGTGTATAATGACAGCCGCAGTGCTCCCCGATAAACGATTGGTTACAGGCTCACACGACAAGACGGTTCGTCTGTGGAACTTGGAGACCGGCGTTGCATTGAAGATGGAACTGCATCGCGGGGGGGTATCGAGATTGGCGGTCTCACAAGATGAGCAATTGATAGCAAGCGGTGATCTGAATGGGGAGGTCATGGTCTGGCACGGAGAAACTGGAGAATTACTCTCCCAGCCCATCGAAGCTCACCCCGGCGGGTGGATCAGCTCGCTGGATTTTTCTCCTGATGGAACAGTGCTGGCCACTTGTTCAAAGTACGGAATAACAAAATTATGGAACACCAAAACCTGGACAGAGCTGGAAGGAAAACCAATTAAGTGTGGTGATGGTACTTGTTGTGTTCGGTATTCGCCATCTGGAGAATTTCTTGCCATCGCAACATCGAGGATCGACATTTATAATCCAGGCACGAGGGAACTTGTCGCATCCTTCAAGGGTCACAAATCGCACACCTTCTCACTCGTATGGACAGCCGATGGCACACGCCTTCTCACAGGCGGCGATGGGGTCGATCCTACCATACGCGAATGGGATACAGCAACCTGGAAGCAGGTTGGCGATCCTTGGACGGGCCACTCCAATTATATCAATCTCATGGTCATTAATCCTGCTAGCACACTCATCGCATCGGTATCTCCACATGAGGGTCATGTTCGTCTTTGGCGGGTCTCAGATCGACGAACCGTTGCCATCTTTGAGCACTCACTCGGTCCAGAATGGGCCACTTTCTCCGTGAATGGCAAGCACATCCTCAGCGGAGGCAACGATAAAATGATCTCAGAGTGGGCAATACCCAACATTATCAATTCAAAGGCACGTTTCCGTCCTTGATTCATATATCACAATTTGAACATGTTTCGTGTAGATCTTGGGCATCATGACAGCCCGTACTGCATGCATAGATGGAGACTTGTCAACCGCCGAAGAACTACTCGCACAAGATATCAACACCGATGGGAACAGTCATACTTACTACGCTCATCGTTCATTTGTTATGGCGCGAAAACACGACTGGGACCACGCCGTTCAGGATGCAATCAAGGTGGGACATACTCATTAACCATGGCCCTCTTACGAAAGACTAACTCGATGGTGACATAGTCTATCAGCATTCAGCCCTCATTGATAGGCTTTATCTCCAAGGGTATTGCCCTCTGCGGAAAAGGCCGCATCCTGGATGCGAGGGCAGCGTTTGATGTTGCATCCATGTACACGGACCAAGATCCAGAAACCATTCATTTTCTGCTCTTGATCAAGGTATGTCACAGTTACCTTTCATACTCTCTGTCTCATTCCATATTTCAGGCCATCGCACTGTTCAATGCAGATCAACATGACGAAGCAAGCCTACTCCTCAAAGAACTCGCTGCGGGTTGTCCGAATGTCTATACTCGCGCATGTCATATCGTGGAAGTAAGTACCATGCAGCTACACTTGGTCATCAATCCCAATGCAATCTCACACATAAAGGCATATCTGCGTGTTCAACTCGAAAAAACCTTGGATGGTGCACGTTACGCCGAAGCCGCTGACCGTTTCATTGCCGCTGTCAACTCCAACAATTCATCATCAAAATTCAACATTCATGAAATATACGAGGACCTGGTGGTGGTGCGTTAAGACGATGTGTACAGTCCTTTTCATAACTGAGTATCTTGTCCAGCTTTTCGGCTGGGATCTCAAATGTTTGTGGCTGACCACACACCAGAAACGGTGCGATGCACTCCTTCAGGCAGGTGAATTTCAAGATGCCGTGAAATTATACTGGTCCATGATGGATTCGAGTGACGAGAACACCATGGTCGACTACCTCGACTGGTCCAATGGCAAGTCTGAGTTCGTAATGTAATGCAGACTACAATCCTCACCTGCATTTCATCCAGCTTTCAAGGAAGAATGCAGCGCGCTCTGTATTGCTAAAGGAGACGTTGCCCTCGCTGCAAGCGAGTATGACAGGGCTATCAACCTGTACTCGTCGGCGATCGCCCTGGATTCTGGATCTGATATTGTCTTTGCGAATCGCAGCAAGGCGAAGTTGGAGAAAATGCTATGGGAGGAGGCAGTTCTCGACGCGCAAAAGGTACGCTGACATCTATGTTTTTGTAGCCCATGTTGACTTCGGCAATGCATAGGTCACCGAACTCAGTCCTTCATCTCACGTTGGATACCAGTTGACACATACAGCGCTGCGTGGCGCAAAACGTTACGACGAAGCCATCGAGGCATTCACAATCATGTTGTCCAAGTTGGACAATGCTCCCGAAGCGCAGATACGCAGTAAGCCATGGAACACTCCTGCATAATCTCAAATGCCTATCTCATTCTACAGGTTTGCGTCAGCAATATGTCTGTCCATCCCAAGCAGAAGACGCCATCCGAAGAGCATTTTGGATCGAACTCGAAAATGCCCCCCTTCGCCTGCTCAACACCTCTACGGGTCTTTTGTGCGACCGAGCAGCACAACTAAGCTCCTTCAAAACGAGTTCAGAGTACAATGAGCTTATCACGTTTCCGACGAAAGATTCAAACCTCCGAACGGAGCGCATCAAAGATGTAGTGGCGACGTACTTCCGTTGCGTCCTGCTATCACACAGGTGGGAAGAATCGGAGGTGTTGCTGCACGATATTCAAGACAAAGTCGTATACGAGTTGAATGGATTTGGTGGCATCGGGAAACTGCAGTCGTTCTGCAAAGTCGTCCGTGATGCTGGATATTACTGGGCATGGATGGACACATGCTGTATCGACAAGAAGAGCAATATTACGGAGCTTCAGGAATCGATCAACTCCATGTTCGTCTGGTACCACAACTCAGCGCTTACGATCGTCTACCTATCCGATGTTCCTCCTTCATCTCAGCCCGGTGCACTGGCTGGGAGTGTTTGGAACGAGCGAGGATGGACCTTCCAAGAATTAGTTGCTCCGCAAGTTGTTATATTTTATCAGAAAGATTGGTCGTTGTATCTCGGCGACCGCTCTCCCAACCATAAAGAGTCCCCTGCAATCATGAGGGAGTTGGAGGATGCGACGGGCATAGATGCACAGGCCCTGGTGAAATTCAGTCCAGGTATGAGGGATGCCCGAGAGAAACTGCAATGGGCATCGAAGCGCGTCACCACTCTGCAGGAGGACATTGCATACTCATTATTTGGCATCTTCGGTATTACTCTACCTGTCATTTATGGCGAGAAGAAGCAGAACGCGCTCGGACGGCTCCTACAGGAGATCGTGGCTCGGTCGGGGGACATTACTGTCCTCGACTGGATCGGACAACCTTCCGAGTTCAATAGCTGTCTTCCAGCGCATATTGCCTCTTACACCACTCCTCCACGCGCGCTTTCACCTTTGTCTGAAGATGATATTCAGACACAGGTCTCTTCGCTGCGAAAAAATCCCGTTATTGTGGATCTGGCTTTGGAACTTTACGAGCGGCTTGATAACACAAGCGCTGCTCGTTTCGCGAACTGCAGGCTGCATCTGCCTTGCATGACGTTCCGTGTCACAGAAGTCAGATACGGTCCATCCCAGGAGACTCGATATAAAGTTAAGGCAGACGGGCTTC